GGCGTGATGTCCAAGTATCCACTTTGGTTGATTTCGCATTTCATTTTAAGTTGATAACTAGATGATATCGTAACTTGTTCTTTGTTTGATTTCCCCTTTTAAGTTGCAAGATGTAAACTTTGAGAAATCATGCTTTATGCGTTGTATTGGAAGTTCCGATGTTGGTTAAATTGCATTGATATCATGATTTGTATTTTGATGTTCAAATATAATTTAGGAGTGATCCTATAGATTCATTTTGAACATAGACGTTAAGTGGCATGAGCCACTTTAGTTGTTTTTGTATCTTTAGATTTCAAGTCGATACTTTGGGAATCTATATCTTATTACTTTGTATAACATGCTTCCATGTGTTTGAATTGCATGAACAATGTGATTATGCTATAAATGATCTAGGGTAGCTTAGGATGCTCCCTGAGTCTTATCTTGACATAGACGTTAGGTGGCATGACCCCTTTTGAATTGTTTCATGTTAGTTTAAAAATCTAAAAGAAATCGAGTCTATGCATGCTCATTCTCTACGAGTAAACTTGTTTACTCACCCCAAAATTACTGGGGGATTTGTTCTGGTACGAAGACTTGGTTCGTGATGCTTATTGCTCTTTGGATGGCTTGTAGACTTCAAGTTTCCATTTCATGCAAATGTTAGCATGGAATGCCATTGTGTAGCCTTGTATGTCTAAACTAGTATTCTTTGTCTCCATATATGTAAAGTGTGCATAAGTACACTCTTTTCATTGTATTCAACATGTATAAGATGAGGCCGGAGGCCAATGACATGTATTTTGTATTCTATGCACTTTTGTTTTCAAGGTTTACTATGGAAATATTGAAAAATGTTAAAGTCTTTGCTTCATAACTTTTGCATTGGGCGTGGGAATTCCATTCTTTTTCTTTCATAGGGTCTCTATGATCATGTATAAGGTGTGGCCAAGGGCCAGACACCATTTTATTCTAGGTTTTGCATTTTGGTTTCATTTTTAGCATTTTAAGGCATTTTTGGCCGTTGAGAGGTCATATTTTGCATTGTGGTTATTTTGAAGCAGCGAACCATTCGGACGCGTCTTAAATGTCTTTTTACGTTTGCGTGCGTATCCACATTTCACAAAACTCTTAAGTTTTAACTTTGGAACTATTTTTGGGCTATTTTATGAATTTTCATGAAAATTCATGCATTGGGACATCATCTTAAGTTCCTCCTTGTTTTGGCATGTTTTGAACGCTCGTACGAGGTTAGGGAATGTTTTCAAACTTGTTTGGATCAAGTAGAATGCATGTAGAACCCTAGGATTGGCCCAAGTACCTTACACATTGCAGCAGCTTTTTCTGCTACTGCAGATGTGTCGGTCGGCTAATGAGGGTCCATCAGCCGGCTGACAAGCCTCGAGGGTCCATTCCAGTAACCTTTTTTGTGAAAAAATGGCGTTTCGGTCAGCTGACCATGGGGGTTCGGCCGGCTGATGATGCTCTTTCGGTCGGCTGATCCTTGCCGTCGGTCGACCGATCCTCCCTGGAGCTTCTCCACTTCAGTTTTCTTGATCAGCCTTGTTGCATCGACTTCAGAGAATCACATCTCTTTCATTTTAAATCCAAATTGGGTCGTTCTTGAGTCTAAATTCAAGAGCTTGAAGTTAGCTTTTCAGTGGTACTAACCACTCATCAAAATTTCACTTATAGTGTGAGTTATTCCAGTTTTAGTGAGATAGGTACGTGGAAATCCTTAGACGGGGAAGACCACTTTGTTTTAAATTCATAACTTTTCCGTCCGGACTCCGAATCAGGCGATTGTTGAGTCTAACTACGTTCATTTTTCGTTGTCTTTCCAATGGTGTGCACGGTGGCACCCATTTCAGTGTGAAATGACCACTTTGCCCTTGGTTCATTTCTTTTCGGGCTAGGCATTCTTGCTTCATTTGCTTAGCTTATTGAGTTCCATGGCTTCATGGGGAGTCATCTTGGTGCCTTAGGGATGACGTACATCTCTTGAGGCCATCTTGTTTCTTTTGCTTCCGCATTTCGGATCCGTTATCGGGTTATCTTTTGGTTCATCACAGGACACACTGGGTTGAAAAATCCAGGGTCGTCACATCTTCTTCAGTAAAAGGAAGCTCTAGCCCATCTCTCTCTAGCACGGAAATAGCCTCAAAAGGAAGACCATCAAGCTTAGGTCTCCAACCTAAAGGTTCTATGTAGAGCTTCTGATAAAAAGAAACGATCCCGCTACACAGCTTTTCCTCACTCCACAACTCCACGCCTTCAACCCGTAGGCGTCCTATATGATTGCTTCTTCTGTGACCATTAGCAAATCTGTGGAAATATTTTATATTACGATTTCCCTCTTTCAACCAAAGAGCCCGAGATTTTTGTCGCCACAAAATCTCCTCCATACAAGCAATCTCAGCAAGAACTGCCTGATAGGAAGCTCTCCTAGTAGAAAGAGACTCCATATTCCCACCCACCTCCTCAAACCGATCAATCTCAGAAAAATCAGCAAAGACTCTGTTCTTCCTCCATTCAAGATTCCCAAAGACATCCTTATTCCACTGCTTAAGAGCAAGTTTGAGAGCTCTTAGTTTCTGTGTTAATATGAAGCTGGGCACACCTGTAACGATCGCTCCCTCCCACCAAGAACGAACTATCCCTTGGAAGTCCTCCACTCTCAGCCACATGTTCTCGAAACGGAATGGGGTTTTTCTAGAACACAAACCCCCACAATCCAAAACTAAAGGAACATGATCAGAGGTAACCCTTTCTAAGACAGCCTGAACAACATCTGGGAATTTTTCTTCCCACTCCCTAGAGATCAAAAATCTGTCCAATCTTGAGAGAGTAACTGGGTCTCTACCATTAGACCAGGTAATGGTTACACCTTCAATTGGAAGATCAATGAGAAGGTGCATATCAATGAAGTCGAAAAACTGATCCATGTTTATGGACCTTTTTCCCCCAATAAACCTCTCTGACGGGAACCTGACTGAATTGAAATCCCCACCCAAACACCATAGTAAGAGCATAGTCCTTAAACATGACTTAGTTCCTCCCATAAAATAGGTCTCTCAGCATCATTGACCGGTCCATAGACCCCAGAAAAAGCCCATCTGAAATTATCCTCTTCCATCTTAAACTCACAGGAAACAGAAAATCTCCCCTTCCACACATTCATTCTTGACAACCACCTACTGTCCCACATAACTAAAATACCACCCGAAGAACCTGTAGCATCCAAGGCCTCCCATTCCACAAACCTTCCTCCCCACAAACTTCTAACCACTCCGTCAGTAACTGATGCCATCTTGGTTTCTTGCAAACAAATAACCTGGGCCATATTTCCTTCAAGCTACCTTCACCACCCAACTTTTATTCGGGTCATTGAGACCACGAACATTCCATGTAATGATTCGTAGCTTCATTAAAAACCAGTTGAGATTAACTCCCCTCCCCCCTTCTTCAAACTCCTACTCCTTGTCCTGCCCCTTTCCATCACCACGCCTTTCTTCTTGTCGTAATTGACATCAGAGATGAGATTCTTAATCTCGTGAATCCCTTTCCAAGACGATATGGGCTTCGCGTTTATAACTTTATTAGTGACTGCTATCTCAGTTCCAGTCACAATTGCTTAAAGAAGAGATAAAGTCTGAACATTATTACCTTCTGAAGAAACTCCCAACAACTCGCTAGTAGTTCCAATGTTATCAACCACCCAATCCCTCCCCAAATCAGTAACCTCATCATCAGGTCTCACCACTACCAAGGGTTCCACCACTAATATGTTAGAGTCATTCTTCAACCAAGGTTGAAGCTCAGTAAAGTAGACCTGTTGGATAGATCCCAAGTCATCAGCCACCTCCTCTTCAGTCTTTCTGTCATACTCATAAACAGAATCTGAATCTGTAACATAATCACCTAATCCAACAATACTACCAACCTTATTCTCCTCATCCGTTGCAGAAGGCATACATTTAAAACCTTTCAACGCAACATTCAAACGTAACTCTTTGAACAAAGCCACAGCCTCATCATTGGACAGCTTAAACTGCAAATCTCTTCCCATATAGGCTGTTACTCCTTCAGACAAATCATCTGCACTGCCGACAGTTATTAGTTTCATTTTTTGTTGGGGTATGGGCAGATATTGTACATCTATAGAGGAAATTGTTGATTTCTTGGCTTCTGTGGGTCCCAAGGATCCTTCTTTTGGTTTTGGTTTTGGCTTCGGCCTCTGTGTATTCTAGGGATGTGTTCCTCTTTTGAACGCTTTCTATGCATTTTTACTTATTAAAAAAAAAAAAGGTGTCTGATGATCCAAGTGTTATTAAAGATTGGCTTGTGTGAGATGAACTTTAGAGTCAGTGAATAAATGCATCCAAGAAGAATTAACCAACGCTCTATCAAGCCTAGCATTAATCCTGGTTTGGATGCTCCATAGCTCCCAAGCAAGATCATCAATGCTCTCTCACACTGCCTCTTTTTCTTTTCCTCTTTTTTTTTTTTTTTTTTTTTTGATAAGTAAAAATGTATTAGAAAGCATTTACAAAACGGCCAAAGCCAAGAAAGGCCCTAAGAACCCAAGGAGCCCAAAAAAATCGACTCTCTACTCAAGTTAGTCGATTGCTCCTCAGGTTAACAATTGCCCAAAAGTCTAATTTCTTGATATTCAACATGCATTATTTAATGAATATATATAATGCACGGGTTGAAAACATAATTGGATTTATATGTGTGCATATCCACAACTTACATTATAGATGAGTTGGGTATATGAAGGAGTTCATATATCAGGTGATCTAAATGCACCAATTTCTTTTTAACATGGAATGTTCGCAATAGTTGGGCACTTCATCTCAATCACTGGAATGGTTGACTAATAAGAACACACCATAAATTACTGTCACTATGTTTGATGTTCTCTCTTATCTACTAAATGCAGGCCAGTTGGAATAAGAAATAATCATAGATACAAAACTGAGAAAACATAAAACCTAGAGATTTGATGAGATTACCTTCTGTGAGAATTATTATAGGGTGACCGGCTTCGGTCTCTTCTGCTTCGCCTGCTGTGCCTGTGACCAACCGGTGACGGAGAGTATCTCCTTCGATATGAGGGCGATCTAGATATACTCCTGCCCATTTCTGATTTCTTCCTTGGTCCTTTATCAACACTCAATGTAGAAGAAATTCATATATACATGTAAATATATATACACACATACACGTTTATATATATAAACCCGAACTAATTAGAATAGCAAGCTGAAAGGTGAGAGCTCGGATAAGAGGAAAAGGCCCTACTAGCTGCTTAAACCCCGCTCGCTTTGGAGGGGGAGAGGTTGAGGGAGCTGATAACCAAGATTGGGGATATTCAGAAACTGAGATGATGGACCAACCGGGCCGCTATGCGAGTCGGATTTTGAAAACCGCTGCAATTAGCTAATGATACTGGTGTCAGATGGCCGGTTTAGACAATAAACGGGGGATATAAACGGGCAGTTTTGTCATTTAGAAAAAATAAATAAATAAATAAAATAAAATCACCAAGTATTCCTTTTCACATTTAAAGATAAATAAGTCTTAAAAAAATTAATAATTCTTTTAAGACAAATAACTCAAACTTTTGATATATTTATGTCATTTAACTCCTAAATCACTAGATCTTTCATTTAAAGTCTTACTATACTATATATAATCTTATTAAAATTGATATAAATTTTGGGTAAAGTGCATTAAACCCCTGAACTATTAGGGCATGTGCAAGAAACCCCACTGAACTATAAAAATTACAAAAATTCCCCCTGAACTATTGGGGTATGTGCAAGAAACCTCCCTGAACTATAAAAGTTGCAAAAAAAAACCTCCCTGAACTATTGGGTATGTGTAAGAAACCCCCCTAAACTATATATTTTTTTGCAGTTTACCCCATCCGCGCGAATTGATTGAATGAAAGGGACGATGAAGCCGAAGAATTTGTGGCTGGGATCGGAGTGGTAGATGTCGTCTGAGGAGTGGTTGGATAAGCCAAGGAATCTGTTGCTTGGATCGGTGGGTCTCCTATCATAGCTCCATCATAGTCGTTGCACCACCCGCCAGATCTGTCGACCATATATATCGCACTTCTCTACACCATTGCGTCAGCCCATCACCGTCACCGCCTTGCCCGCCGTTCAGCTCACCTTGCTCGCCGATCCATTCCACCGTCCATTCCAAGCTCACCGCCCCATTCCGCAATCTCCATAGCCGAGCACACAGTCGTCCGTGTTTCAAGCACACAGTCGTCCACAGTTCACTACCGAGCCCCCTTGAGCTCGCCGCCGCCTCCACAGTTCACGGCCGAGTCAACCGAGCTCTCATCACAACCGAGTCCTCTGCGCACAAGCCGCCATCATCCGAGACCGAGCCATCCCGTTGACCTCGGATTTCTTTAGTCTATTCTCTCTCTCTCTCTCTCTCTAGCTCTCTGTTTTGGGTTATGTTGGGTGAAAAACATCTTTTGGCACAAAAAAAAAAAAAAAAAATGTAAGAAGTGTATAACTTAAAAACGACGCAGTGTGTTATAAGGGTAAACTGGTCTTTCAAAATTTTCGGTGCTGGAAGCTGATGTCATGGGGGTAAATTGCAACAAAATCATAGTTCAGGGGGGTAAATTGCAACAAAATCAAAGCTCAGGGGGTTTTTTTTTTTTGTAGTTCAGGGGGGTTTCTTGCAAATGACCAATAGTTCAAGGCGGTAAATTGCAACAAAATCATAGTTAAGGAGGGTTTTTTGTAATTCAGGGAGGTTTCTTGCAAATGACCAATAGTTCAAAGGGGTTTAATGCACTTTACCCATAAAATTTAGACTCAAACTTTCATACATACCATTACAAAATTAGACATAAAATTTGAATTGAAAACACGTTTTTTATTGATTTTTTACAAGATAATTAATTTCTTTATACTAAAATCATGCATTCTACACGAAAAAAAAAAAAAATTGAATTAAATTTAAATTAGATTAATTATTATTTAAACTCATAATGCAATATTATTATGTAATAAAACTTAAAAGGAATATATAAAAAATAGATTATATATCAATTGTTGAATAAATCTATAGTTATAAAGTTTTACTTCTATTTAGTAATGATATAAATGAAAGATTTAGTAATTTAAAATTTAATTAGAAAAATTATAAAAAAAAAATCTTAAAAAAAGACTTTTTTTTTGTCTCAAAGAAATATTTTAGGGTCTATTTGTCTTTCAATAAGAAAAGCAGGACTTGGTAATGATTTTTCTTTTTTGGAGCAACTTCAATTGTGATAACATTTCCTGCAATACATGGATTAGTTAATTTTGATCCAGGTGGTTAACCAGTTATGTTGCCCAAAGGATGAAATAATGAACTTAAATGCGACCAGGGTGGAAGCTGTGATGGGGTAGGAGCAATGTGTTTCGAGTTGTCACCCTAACATTAAGTTTTGATGTGCTATGTGAGGACCTGTTCCTTTTTTCTATTCTTTCATTTTTCCTTTTTTGACATTTTCAGGTTTCGGGACATGTAGGACCTGGCGGGGTCAAGTGTTCGAAAATTATTCCCAACACTTTATTTTTATTTATTTGGGACACATTGGACATATATATTTTACATTGGGCCATTTGGGTTATTATTTTCTAGATATTTTGTGTTTTAGGGTTTTATGCGATTTTGGAGACTTTTGGGGCTTCTCTTGAGATATTTTGTATATAGATATAGGCGTGTGGTATAAGATCATATTTTTGGGGCTCTCTCTTCTCTTTTAACATTTCTTTCTCCTCTTTCTCCTTCCTCTATTGTTTTCTTTTTCCTTCAAGCATACAAACTTGATTTTCTCCTTCTTCCTCATAGATTTATGTGTTTCCATAGAAGGACTTTATGACGGGGACACCAAGGGGAGTAAAACCCTTGATTCTATTTTCATTTTGGAGCATTTATAGATTTTGGATAGGTGTTCAAGGTTGGATTTTAGGCCAGTCATAGGAGGGTTTATTATTCTCCTTGTCTTTTTCATCGTCTCTTCAAAGTTGTAGCTCGATTGGAGCATTTTCTATTTTGGTGTTTTTGAGGTTTTCATGTCAAATGAGGTAGGGGGTGTGTTGCATACGTAAGACTACATTTCCTTGAGTTTTGTGAGTTTAGATTATGTATGCATCCGTGTGTGTGTATTTAGAATTCTACATTTAGGTTAAAGAGACTTTAAAAATGATGATTTAGTGATGTGGTAAATGAGTTCTATGCCTAATATGTTTATTGGATTTGTTATTGCAATATTAGTTATTAGACAAGGAGTTTACTTGATTTGGAAAATTACATATATTGTGTGTATGTAAATATGACGACCCAAATTTCAAGAACCCAGTGTGTTAGCAAGTAACCTGGAACCTGACCCGATGTAAAGTCCGAAATGCGAAAGCAAGAAAGGAGAAAAGTCTCTAAAGGTAGACATTACCTTTAAGACAACAAAGTGACCTCCCAAGAGATCACGAGTCTCGAGTAAATAATGAATGTGGAAGTGAAACAACAGAGAAGGTTAGTAGAGGTGAATTCCACCTCTAGGACGAAGGAAGATCCTCTAATGAGGTAACAATACTCAAAATGTAAACGAATGCCGAAGCGAAAAAGATAAAATGGTCATATGGTACCTTCTGGCACCTTTGTGACACGTAAAGTGACATACCAAGTATGTTAACACCTGGATCAATGTGAAGTCAAAAACATGCAATGAGGACTGTATGAAGACCCTAACATGAAAGACAAGTGACCGAAAATAAGGATGACCAACCAGCAGGCATTTCGGTCATCCGAAGTGCCATACCAGTTAACCGGAATGAACTCAAGAAATCAGTCATCCGAAGTGAAAAAACCTGTCATCCGATTTTCGATCCAAAAAGTGAAATGGCTACTGCTTGAAGTTGCAATTTAATTGCAATAGAAACCGATCGTCCGAAATGGAGCTTCGGTCGACCGAAATGACTCGAAGAAGTGCATAAATCTCTACTATGAATCAGAAAATGCAATGGATCTCAAAACTGAAATTCCTAAGTGTAATGCAAAATAAAATATGACATGGTAGTACTAAAACGCACGGAAAAATACTCACAACATACATATCAAACCAAACGACATATGAAACATACCTTGAACATTTAAAACGACTTATTGGCCTCAATTACATATATTGATCCAAAATGTACTTCATACAAACATGTTTACAAAACTAATCCAAGAAGGGCATGTTAAACACCTTGCATGACAATAAAAACAAATGTGTCCATGACACCAAATTCACAATGAGCAAAAGAAAGTATCCATCCATAAGAAGAGCATCAACAGCTAAAAAATTTATAATCAACAGGTGTGAGTAAATTGAAATACTCCGTAGGAAAGTGCATCATGCAGATAACCTAAGGTTTCAATGGCTTTGCAAACCTAACATAGATCACAACATTTGAAACATGCCTCATATAGTCTAGTTCATAGGTGAAACTAAGGGATCATTCTAGAACTAACATTGAAGCATTATAAACCAAATCCACAATATAAAAGTACGCTTAACCAAATTGAAACATCTAATACCAAAATCATCACATGTAAATATATATAACCAAATTGGAACATCCAATACCAAAACCAAAAGCTACAATTACACATGAATTGTCAACTTGGAAAAGAAAAGTGAAATCATATAATAGGAATATCTTGGACATCACATCTGGTTATGAACATCATAACTAAGACAAATTAGTTATTTTAGAATACTAACCCGCCGGGAACTACCCAAGTGGTTGTTATATTAGGGAGAACTAATAACTTCCGCATTAGAGCCTAACTCTAGCCATATCAACGTAATAAATGCCTCAAGTATTTTCAAAATCAACAAATATATCACAACATATACATACGTATACAATGCATGAAATTCACCTTCCGTGCACACATAAGATGAAATATCACACATTCCATGTCCTAAGTCCTCAAGACTAAATATGGCATGATTTTACAAGTCATCAATTCATATATAGTTACACTAGCATTTTGATATCAACATAAAATGTTACATCATGCTAACACTATGAACCTTAAATACTTAACCACATAATTATACAAGTAGTAAACAAACCTTTAGCAACTCAAGAAGAATATAATAATGCAACAATTATATTTCAATGAAACAAATACAATATAGTCTTCTACCAATTAAATGACAAGCTTTACAAAATAACAACTATATACACGCTTTAAATAATATGCGAGCCTGAGTAAAAATGTAATCTCATACATATATATATCTACAACTCACATAACATACATGTAATATATGGTAAACCCCAAAATACAATGAAATTATAAGGTTATAAACATACTACACCCCCTACCTTAATTTGAGATAAAAATCTTAAATGACACTAAAACGGAATCGTTCCGAATGCGA